CACTTGTATTAAACGAGCGCCGGCTTCCCGCATTACATTTAGTCCTGCATGCCCGACGCAGGGCTAAATGTAGGAGAAAAAACATCCGACCTGCGGCCGGAACTACATGTCCCGGGTGTCGGGCGATAGAAGAAAGGTGCGGTTAACGGGCTGACAAAAGCCCAGGCGCCAGGACGCAATTTCTAGTCACATACGCAAACTGGTGCCTGGGATTTGTCGAGCCCTGGTTTATAGCCAATTCTTCACAATGGTATTGCTGCCCTCTATTGTTTTTCCATTGTTCATAGCTGGTTTTCTAACAATGGGATATTGTTTTGGGGCAACATTACACCCAAGCTGGCCAGCAATAGCCTGGCCTTTGGCATTTGACTGTCTTTAGATGGCATTTGTGATACTGTGCTGCCATCTGGAATTGCAAAAAGAGAGAAACACCTGCCATAGAATGTAATGCAAGTGTATGGGTAACATCCACAGGTGTTGCCTCCCAATTTTCTAAAGCCAGCAGCCCAGGATACAGAGAAACTTTACCCATATCTTTAAAATAACAACAAACATACCTTTTAGTAATGTTTTGTGCTGACAATCTACAAACATATACTTCTAGATAACTGCTGGCTTTGTATTCTTTGCATTCCTTATTTCTCTTTTCTTCCCAAGTCTTCTGACAGTGGCCATGTTTACTAAGGGCAGATTACTAGCTCTCCCTTTACTTCCTGGATTACTGGCACATGTGACTAGGACATGTGACCATGCATATCATCTCCAGGGAGGAAAATGCCTTTCCCTGAGATCTCATGAGATTACAGATGAGATTTCCCAGCAATGCTCTGTGATGTAACCTTCACAGGTTGTCTCATTCTGCAAGCACTATTTTTGCAGATCGCACTGGACCAGAACGCAGGCACTAATGTGCCTATGTTCTGGGGCGGACGATTGCACTGCGGGTAGGGGGGCGTGGCTGCGGTGCCATTGACTTCTATGCACCGCCACGCCCCCTCCCACCTCTGAACGCAGGGAACCGACCGCCTTGCGTTCCAGAGGCCGACCGCTCTGGAACGCAGCCTTTGTGGTGTGAACCAGCCCTTAGAAAGAGAAGTCCAGGCTTTTGAAAAATGAACCCTTGCAGTGGAGCTACCCCCACACTGCAAGGGTAAACTGCTTGTTTTTTCTCCAGGGGCGAAAATAAAGAAGAAACACTCACCTGATCCCCAGGTCCTGTGGAAGTGAACGCTCACCTCTTTCCCTCTCAGCTCTGGCTGTGGTATGCCGCTTCAGCGTTTTTACATCTGATAGATCTTTATGGACTTGATGACGTGACGGGTCCTTTGACCATCAGAGCCCAGGAAAAAAAGAGGCTGTGGGGACCGGTCTAGCGGGCGGGTGGAACCGATGATCGGGTGAGTATATCTTCTTTCGTTTTTGCTCCCTAGACAAAATGAGCAGTTAACCCTTTCAGTGTGAGGTTAGCCCCACTGCTAGGGTTATCTATTCAATATCCTGGAGTGCTGCTTTAGGTATTATAAATATCTACTGTGTTTACTTTATTCTAATAGTCTGTGATTAAACAGTTTAAGCAGCTCTTTTTAGGTTGATCTTATTGCGTTGTATGCCTTGCTGTGCATTGCTGAATGTACTTGAATTCCTATGTGTTGCATACTGGTCTTGAAACAAAGGCTAGATCATTTTTCCCCTACACAATCTGCATGCTGATCATTCTCATAGCCAGGAAAGTTTTTTCTTTTGCCTGAGGAATTGAGGTTGTTTCTGTACCAGCCTTTAGCAACCCTATCTCTTATATTAGACCAAAAAATGGGTATTTTATTGTGTTTGTGTACACAAAAGTGCACGCATATACGCACCTATGCGCGTGTATATATATATATATATGCGCATGTAAGCGTAAATACGCAATATACAATTTTGCTCTTGCGTTGTGTGTGAATAAGGCCTTAAACAACATGCGTGTGTAAAAAAAAATGCTCCTGTCACAAAGAAGTTAAAGATCAGGAACTCATGCCACACATGGTTAGGTGTAAATTCAAGTAGTGATAACATCTGCGGTAATACTGCTTGCTTTATCATAGACCACTTAGTGTTAAGCATTAATAACTCTGTAAACAAATGAAAATGCTTATGCATGAAAACTTTAAAGCTTATTTCCACTTTTGCAGTCAAATTTAAGAAAACCCCTCTTTAATTACCTTTTAGATGTCTTGTTACAGCAGGTGACATGGCTGAATCTACGTTTTTCTGTGTTCCTTTACAGTGATCTGTCCTTATAGAAAGACTTAAGGTGCCCACACACCTTACGACCATCGCAAGACTCTTGTCTTGCGATGGTCGTAAGCTTATTAAAAGCTCGTACGATCTGCCCATCTTGGACAGGCAGACCGTACTTGCGATCATCAAAAGCCCGCCCTGCTGAGGGTCAGGACTGTGTGGAATCTGTTTCTCTTATTAACTTCATTAACATACAATGCAGAAGCCAGGCTTTTTATCCTTTTAACTCTTTATTAGGACAGACAGTGTTCAACTCTACTTTACAAAGTATATTGAAATCAGCCAGCGCTGCACAGACAGGGTTATCGCAAACCCTTCACAGACCCACCAGGAGAAGCCAAGTAGCAAGTAAAAAGCATTTTAAACTGCAAGAAGCATTTTTATTTTTTTTATTTAGCTTATGCTGTGTGAATAGGAACATGCAAAAATGGGAAAACACTTTAAATGAGAAGTGCAGGGAGAGTAAACATACTCTTCCTGCTGCTAAGAGCCACCATGGGACATTGCAGCTGTCATACATCAGATCTGACACTGAGAGCTGAGCAATTTTTTAACTGCTTATCTGTCCGCTCTCTGTCCATGCTCTCAGATTGTCACTGCCCCGTAGGGTTTCTCCCCTCCCCTCTCTGCTCTTCCAGAACTCACTGCTTGGACAGACAGAGACAGGGGAGGGGGCAGGCATGGCTGGCTCTGGCTTTAAAGAGGCAGAGCAAGCTGTCCCTTAGGCAGCCATGGTGGATCCCGGAAATATTGTCAGGATACTTCTCGGCTGCCGCAGAACTCTCCACTGTCAGCTGATAGCAGGCATTAGCTTGCTGTTTCCTGACTTTGGGTCACAGGAACAGGGGTGTTTTAAGCCCAGCTTACCGTCGCCACTGGTTGCCAGGAGCCAGCGGGACACTGGGAAGAGTGTCCCAGGTTGCTCGAAGCAGTAGCGTGACAGTACATTAGTAAATGTGCTCTTGTGACCCAGTAGAAAGGTAAACTTAAAGTGGACCTTTACCCCCCTTTCACTAAAAACCACATCAGCATACAGATCTGCATGCTAATCTGAAATCTTACATGCATTAGCTAAACAAAATATTTTTCTTTTACTTACAATTATTGTTTTTCCACTTCCTGGTCCTCTTGGGCATTGGTGATGTAATCTGTGTCCAAGCGTTGCATCCTGGGAAGGTTACATCAGCAGAGCATTGCTGGGAAATCTCATCTGTAATCTCACGAGATCTCAGGGAAAGGCATTTTCCTCCCCTGAGATGATGTGCATGGTCACATGTCCTAGTCACATGTTCCAGGAAGTAAAGGGAGATATAGCAATCTGCCCTTAGTACAAATGGCCACTGTCAGAAGACTGGGGAAGAAATAGGGAATGCAAAGAATAAAAAGCCGGCAGTTATCTAGAAGTATGTGTTTGTAGATTGTCGTTACTAAACATTTCTCAAGGTGGCTTTGTTGTTTTGAAGATATGGGTAAAGGTCCTCTTTAAGAAAAAGGTTTGTTTTTACTTTTCTTTTAAAATGCAGATACTAACACTGCTTTATCCTTGCATGTTGTACAATCAGCATGAGGACTTTTACCCAGAGATACCAGCTCAGCAGGCCATGCCAAATACCAGCTCGGCATCCCCATAGCTGGATAGCCAGTGAGAGTGTGCACCCCTCCTACCACCATACCAATACAAAATCAACACTGGACAACTCAGGAAATGTCAGGGCTTGTCATTATTTAATTTTAGGCTAATACATAAAATCATATGGATTATGAAATACTGCTTGGTTATTGTATTTAATGTATCAGGCCTAAGGCTGGCCATAGATGCATATATTTTGCAATTCAACTGTTTGATCAAATCATCTTGAAAATATATATATATTTTTTAATTCTTTACTAACTGAATCCATGCAGGAAAAAGAGGAAAAGGTATACAACATCTATGGTTTCAGGAAATGCAATAAGTGCAAATTATGAAAAGATCATTTGATGCAACACAAGTTGTACATTTTGCTTGCTTCTAAACAATCATTTTTAAGGGTCTATTTATAATTTAAAAAAATGCATAGCTCCAGCAAAACTGCAAATAAAACAGCTGTGTGCTTAAGGCTATTTTCTCTTCTGGTTGAATCCTCTTCAAATATAATATCAGTAGTGAATCGCAGAAAATACCACATTCTGACCACTAGATGGAGCTGGGGATCATAGGAAATAAATCCATTTTAGGGTTAGGCTCTGAGGATACCACAATAGCTGACTTTAGCTCTTCCACTGCCATGCTGTCCCATAGAAAAAGTCATTTTTGCATATTAGGTATTCCCATCTATCCGCATTTCTATGTATGGGCAACCTAATACAATGTAAAAATTCTAGCGAATGCTGGGGGAAATTGGCAGATAGATGTAGCTATGAGAATCTTCACAGTAGCCGTGGTTACACTTATCTGCTAATTCCCTCCTTTAGAATTGTTAAATTGTATCTCTTGTTAGGCTGCCCATACACAGACAGGCAGATAGAAAGGAAGACCTAATATGCAAAAAATGACTTTCTATGGGACAGCATGACATGGGAACAGCTAAGGTCAACTATACAGGTAACCCGGAGCCTACCATGTTTGTCATTGAGATTAGTTATACCAGGCATTGATTGCTAATATATTGTGTTGTCCATCTGTTTTATTTGAAATGTAACATGTAGAGCCATTTTATTTGCCTTACATTGAATGTCAGACCGCTGTTCCTGTGTCAGGCCAGGTTTCAACTGTCAGTCATCCAACAAGCTTCCAGTAAGTATGTTTGCACCCTTAATATCTGAATGCAAAAGGTATCAGGTAAAAAAAATGATTAACACTTTCAGTGGGGCTATCCCTGCACTGCAAACGTTAAGTGCTCGTTTGGGTCTAGGTGCTAAAAAAAAATAGGTATACTCACCATACCTTCCGGGTCGGCTTGTTCTTGGACCGGTGTCTCAAGTGTCTCTGCCCCTCTGCTGCATCGGTATAAGGATCCTGGTGTCATCACATTCTTTACACTGTGCATAGACTGTAAAGATGTTCGGACACTGAGGAGGAGGACACACACTTCAGTGATCACAGGAGCAGAGAGCTGACGGGGATGGTCTGGTGAGTATAACTTTTGTTTAGTACCTAGAGAAAAACAAGCGTTTAACCTTTGCAGTGTGGGGGTAGCCCCACTGCAAGGGTTAATAAAATGTTTAACCAGAGTTTTTCTTTAAGAGATCTATTTTTTGTCAGCAATTTTTTGGGTTCTATGTCCTCCGGAGGAAATACCAAGACGTTGAAAAAAAAAATTGATTCACAGAAAATTATTATAATACAGGATTTATATAGCGCCAACAGTTTGCGCAGCGCTTTACAATATAAGGAAGACATTACAATTACAATACAATTCAAGACAAGATGGTAAGGAGGGCCCTGCCTGTGAGAGCTTACAATCTAAAAGGGAGGGGCACATTGATGGATCATTCGAACAAACAGCAACATTTAAACAAACAGTATTATACACAATGACATTATGTATGTTTGTGCCAGTGTCTTCAGTGTTCATTTGTTCCAGTGTCACAAATCTTACTAAAAGTCTCATAGAACGAACCATACTTGTATTGTTATAGTAAATGTGCAGTTCTGGCATGTGCACCCCTCTGTATCAACTAAGTGTACAGCAGTTATAAAATGTAGAATCACAAGAAATGTAAAGTAGAACTTCAGCCAAACATAAGATAAAAATGAATAGCCCCAAAAAAGATCAAATAAAACTAGTTTTTGCTGATATATTTACCTTCAATCCAGAGATTCTTCTTGTCAGCACATGAACTGATTGACTCCTTGTATTTCATCTCCGTCTCACACTCAAGGCCTGCTGTACAGAGACTGCAAGAGGCTGAAACCAGGTCAGATTCTGGTACTTACACTTCTTGTATTAATAAAATACATTTACTGATGTAGCAATGATTGCAGATCTACAATAATGGGTGTTAAAAAGTATGCCTTTGTTTTAATTATGACCTATTAAACCAATATTAACCATTCCATTTAGTGTCATACACTATTTCTAACAGAAGAGAAAAGGAATAAGAGTTTGGAGTTATAGAGTCATAAAACAATATAAAAAGAAGTAAACAAGCCATACAATCATAATGTCTAAAATGTACAACCTTTAATATCTACAAATATGTCTATAATATGATACCCCTGCTGAAAAGATATGATTCTTGCCTGTTTCCAGTGTTTACACTGATAGGACAGGTATGTTCCCAATAATGTCTATTTTTCCAACATCTTTTTAAACTTGATATTACTTATAGTATATGTACTTTAAAACACAGGTCCAATTCACCCCCCAAAAGTCATTACTTTGTAGAGCCACCATTTGCTGCAGTTACAGCTGCAAGTCTCTTGGGGTATGGTTGTATAAGCTTGGCACATCTAGCCACTGGGATTGTTGCCCATTCTTCAAGGCAAAACTATTCCAGCTCCTTCAAGTTGGATGGGTTGTGTTTGGTGCTCAGTAATCTTCAAGTCCTACCACAGATTCTCCATTGGATTGAGGTCTGGGCTTTGACTGAGCCATTCCAAGACATTTAAATGTTTCCCTTGAGACCAGTTTTAATTCCATGTTGTAATGCAATAAAAGAGGTAAAAAACAAGGGAGTGAATGCTTCCACAAGGCACTGTTTACAGATAAACTGGACTAAAGACCTTTTTTTTAATTCATATACTGCTAAAGCCACTTGTACATACAGGACTTCAGTTTTGGTAACACAGGCAATGCATACTGAATATTTCCATGCTCTTTTTTTTTTTCTGCTTAGCACCGAGTACTATTCCTGTGGCGTAGACTTTTATCTTTGTAATGTACTGGTGATTATAACAGACAACAGTTCACTTGTGTATTGCATTACTGTGTGCTTTGTAGAAAAATTGGGTTCATGTTTCTTCTGTACTTTCTCTCGACAGATATACTTTGGATAATAATCTGCTGACCACAGAACAGAGACAATTCTATGAGGAGAATGGCTTTCTTGTTGTGAAAAATCTAGTGTCACCTAAGGACATTGATGAGTTCAGGTATAAATGTGTTCCACGGCATTTATTATTCCCTGATCGGGTGAATATCTGAAAACATTAAGACCGGTATTATGATGTATACAATAGGATAAGGCCCTTTTCACACTGGGGCGGTTCGGCCGTGCGGATCCGCCCACATGAACGATCCCATACATTGCTATGGGGACCGTTCATGCGACCGCGTGAGCCGAACCGTTCCCCTCCCAAATTGCTCACCTGAGCGTTTTTTTCTTCCCATACAGCTTTCAATGGAACTGCGCTCATTAGCGTGGTTTTGGGAGTTTTTTTTAATTGCGTTTCAGCTCTGAAACGCAATTCAGAACGCCCAAAACTGCATTTTTAAAAATCACGTGGTAACCATGCCCTGGGGTGAATGGGGTCTAAGGCATGGTTACATGTATATGCAGATGCTGACTGCCCTCAAGTTAGAGAGTCTTCGGTGCACTGCAGAATGGTTCATATTCTTGTATGCTTAGCCCTGCCAATGGAGAGGGGGAGGAGAAAGAAGAGGTAGGATGCTGCAAGCATTGGCTTTTTAGGGGGCTGGAGGATGAAGGATGCTGCAAGCATTGGCTTTTTAGGGGGCTGGAGGATGAAGGATGCTGCAAGCATTGGCTTTTTATTTTTAGGGAGCTGGAAGGAGAACAGTGATCAACCAACAGTGT